AGGAATATGCTCTCGACAAGAACTTTCAGTCAAAACCATTGATGTTTTTAATGAAGGAAAAAAAATTTTGTACGACTTTTGATCAAGCTTTTTCACAGAAGAGGAGGTGGAAGATACTTCACGGTTTGTACGCGTCAAATTCCCACCAGGTTGTAACCGAAAATTGAGCTTGCTTATTTTACTCAGCTAGTGCTAAAAAATATGTATGTATATTACAAGTTTTAGAAAAGTGGAGAAAAGTATTATTCTGAAAAGTGAAAAGTGAAAAGATGATGGTCCGACCATAAAACATAAAAGTCTGTTATTTGGAGGTAATTTTTTAGGAATTTCTTTATGAACGACAAAGCGACGGCGGAAACGACAGGCCAGAAGCTCTGCCAGTATCAGATGGCCAATAGATTGGCTTCCTTGCTAATCATGATGAGAGCTCTCAATTGATCAAAGATCATTATAATGGGACTCGATGACATTGCGAGGGCGTAGATATATGTATTGAGAATACAAGCACATTTTCTTTTTAGGCAGGCCACTTGAATAAAAACCTTTGCTAAAAGCTCCTCAGCTGTAAAATTCACTATTGGAGTTCCATCATGAGCTCTGCCATTTGGATGGTTTGTGCTTACAGATCATAACCTCTAACCTTAAATAGAAATTTTCAAGTTAAGTGGATTTTAGGAATTAAAAACAAATTATGGAATGGTTTTAAGAAGGGATTCTGGTTTTTGTACTTGATCGTAGAGGCCTTAGGCAGTCTAAACATCAAGTTTCAAATTAAAGGAGGCAATTTTGTATTATTAAATTCATCATTGGCGGCCGCAACTAGCGGAGTGGTTATCACAGAGACTACCATTCTGAAGGCAAGGGTTCCAGTTTTGGTTGCATCAACATACAAAATTTTAGAAAATTAATTTTTCTATCTGGGGTCGTTAATCGGCACGAAATGTAAAGCCTTCCAAGTGTAATTCTTTAAATAACGGCTGCTCATAAGGATTTATGGCCCTTTCGAGGTGGGTTAGTAGAAGGTGTATATATGTTGAAAAAAATATCACGAAACCGAGAAAGAGCTCCACCGAATGTCACTTCTGTGGTAAGATAACGCCAATTATTTATACACATTAGGTGTAGTAAAAAAAAATTATTGAAATTTAAGGCTTTATATTTTTCTTATCGAATCCAGCCTTATTCAAATGGTTCCAAATGGTTTTTTGTGCAATCCTTATCTCGTGCAATCGAAACAGTGCTCACATGACTCAATTCCTACTGACCTTTATTCAAATCTTTTCTACCTTTAACTGAATATCGTCTTTTAACATAATTCTTCCTTCTACGTATTACTCCTTTCTCTGGCTTTCACCACTCACTGAATGGAATTTTCATGCTAAAGATTTTGTGTTTCCCGTGTTTACGATTTTGATTAAAAATCTTTTAATATTGCTTTATTAAATCTTGTATGTATATACTCATACCTAAATACTATGTGCATGTATGTATGTACGTATGAATACTACAAAACTTGTCTATGTGTAAATATAAAGTAAGCGAAAGTAAAAGAAAATGGACTGTCGTGTTAGAGTAAGTGAGTGAAAATACTTTGCACAAACTTGCATTTATAAACTTATGTACACACACACTATTACACACTCACACACAAATACTCGTGTGCAGTAAAAGTTAAAGCTTTATTAATAAACTTTCTGCTTTCAGTGCATGTGAATCTTTAATTAAATATATATTTATGGTGCGTACCTTTGAGAGGTCAAGGAATTCATAATAACTTTTTCCAGTAATTTGCTTCAGAATTTCAGTCAATTAAAATGTATTATTTAAAAAAAAAATGCATATAAAGTTTATTTACTCAATATTTACAGGTTACTGCGAGTAATGAAAAGTACAGGTAGCTCCATAAGATTCGAGTAAAAATCCTAGGATAGAAAATGGAATTTCTTTTAGAGTTTCTGATGGAGAAAATTGCAGTGAATTAGAAATGATTATTCAACACTTTTACAGTCCTGTTCTGTACACTTGAAAAATTAATAAAATATTGTTGTATTTATCAACATTTTTAAAAATTTTGGTATTCTGTGTCAGTCTTGCTAAAACACAAAGCTTCAGTTTGTTGTGCTCTACCCCAAAATTATAGTGAACAATTAAATGTGTAGAAAATTCAGCTGTTTTTGCTAGCATCCATTCTTTTAGAATAAAGGAAAAATAAATATACAAATATGTATGTATGTATGAATAGTTGTATTATATAATGGTGGTTTATTTGGAAAGTCAAATATGAAAACGCTTACATTTTGATTATTTAATAACTACAGGGATGAAATATAATATATCAGAACGTATGTAGGTCTTTCATCTTCACTTATATTCTTTATACCAGCAGAACCATAAAGTTTGTTATACTTCAGTTCTTTAAAGGATTTTAAGCCACCGATGTAGAGGATAACCTTGATCGCCAATAAGACAAAGTTCTCACTGCTGTTGTACAGACCCTCATCAGTGTGCTGACGAATGAGATGCTACCGTAGGTCAGAAGTTGCCCAAACTCCAGAGTCATGTATTGCCCCCGGGAATTTTGCGTTAAAAAAAGTGAAACTTAAACGCACACTTGAGAAACAAAGCATTTATTAACTGTATTGGTTTATACATACAACAAAACTCACTGCTTCGGCAGTCTTAGTAAAGAACGCCTTTCTTTTTACATAAATAAATATTAATTAAGAGGACGTTCAATGTTATTTGATGATGGAGCAACAATAGATATATGCTTGTGCTTTTTATTCTTTCTAAAAAACTGAAATATAAAAGAGATGAATTAACTTAAGTGATTTTTTTGTTTGCATTAACATACCCTGTTTTTAGTTTCTTCCTCTGCCGAACTGGGAGATTTTATTTCCCCTCCTTTCATACTTACAATAAGCAAACTTCTGGAAAGAAACGACTGACTCAAGGGCAAGTCAAAGTTGTTGCCTACACATTTTTGTTATGAGCCAGACCCAAAGAAATTTAAAGCCACCAGCAGTCTTATGATTAAAGACAGTGAGGTTTTTCGAATATCTATGAGATGAGTGCAAATTTCGCAAGTCAAACGATTTTCTCTTCGCTTAACAACAACAATATAAGTGAACTATGTGTCTTCTTTTCCTACAATTTTTCCCAACTATGCACAAACGGTAAAAAGATGTTTTATTTGTAAAAAAAAACACTGTCAAGAGAATTTGACATATTAACAAATTTTTAAGAAGAGAGCTTTTTATTTTTGACACAGAATAGAAAAATCTTGATAATTTGTCAATCTTGATAAATTGTCAATCTTGATAAATAAGCAAGATGGTGAATTCATCAAGTGCACAGAATAGGCCTATTAATTAATTTAAATTTTTTACTTCAAGTAAGATATGAAACAAAGAAGTTCTTTTTTTTCGCTTAGGTTTCTCTCAAATTAATGATTTTTGAATAAGCATTAATTTTTTTTAAATATAATTTAATATTAAATACTATATTTTTAATTAGTTATAAAAAATGTTTTCAAAGTAACCAGAGATGTTAATCGAATTCCCAGTAAAGAAGTTATTGCTTAGAAAAATTTAGACTAAAAAAAATAGTATTTTGTGATCACCGAGTTAAAGAGCTTACAGGTGAGCATTGCTTTGAAGAGTGAAAATACACAATATGTAAAGCATTCTTGGTCCACATTTTTTCAAAACTCAAGTCGCCAGAATGTTACAGGCATTGACAAACGCTATATATCTCCGATTAATTGCTTCTTCTTGCCAACAAGTGCCGTATGGCATAAAACCAATAAAACAATCACTTATTAAAGCAAAGCTTGGGTGAGCAATCATCTCGCAACGTGTGCCTGTGGCGTGGCCTCCAAGATTAAGAGCGTACAATTTAGCGCCGTTGGAAAGTTTTTTTTGGGGTTCTGTAAACTGAACTGACTGTTGACTGAAATATTTTCAATTCTCTCGCTGAGGTAACGCTCCTCAAATAATATAATAATTAAAGACACGTATATAAGCAAGCCCTAATATTATATTTATAATATTTATAGCCATAATTTCTTGGTCATTAATTAAATTATAGAGATTTTATTTATTAACCTTTATCTGTTTTTAAACTTTTTTATTTTGAATTTAGTAATAATTTTCAATTAAATTTATTAATATATAATTTATGAACATGGTTATTTTTTTGTAATATTTTTTAACATTTACTGTTTAATTCTTTGGGAAAATAATATTTGGCTTTTTTTTATTATTTTTATACATTTATTCATATTTTGTTTTGTTCTAGATGCCATGCTGATTAAATTCTCAAATAAAAAAATTCAAAATAATTTAAATTAATTTTAATCAAAATTCTCAAAATAAGAAGAAGGTGAAAAATGTAGATTAATTTATTCAACAGTTCGATTTGCATGAATTTTAGTATCAATAAACATATAGACATAGTAGTTTTCTTGCCTGAAATTAGATTAGAGACAAAGTGCGATTTGCTTGTAATTTGTTGTAAAGGTAGGGTTTTGCTTATACCAACATAGAGGCATAATCATTAGAAGAAGTGGATCAGTGGCGGATCAAGAAATTCGTAATAATTTTCAGACATTAGCAGCTCGTAAGGATATGTGTATGATGCCTAGAGTTCTCAGTGATTCAACCAAACTATATTTCTGTACCTTCCTGTGCTTATTTTCAGATTTTTCCTTCATTCATTCAATATTTTCACTCAATCGAATAAAAATGAAGAACTTGTATATTAATTATATGTAGTTATTATTTATTTTTGAATCTATTTTCGTTTATAGTAAGACACATTATTTTTTAAAACTTATCATTTATTTTATGACATTCAATTGAAATATTTTCGTGAACTTCCCTTTATATGTTCGATATTCTCATCTCACATTTCGTTAACCACCCCCAAAGGGATATTTCCTCACAATGGTATTCACTAATATACGTAAATTAATTAACTCTTCGTTAAAAAATACTTACATTTCAGATATTGCTCGTTGTGCAATATGACCTTCTCGGCATTTTTGCGTGCTTGGAAAAACCACTCAGACGTATTGCCGAGATAATGATACTCCATGGAGAGATCCTTGGCGAGAATCGCGCCCAAATTTGGCGCAGGCAAGCGATATGCAAACGGACAGAAAAGGCCAGTTTGTGAAGGATGCTCATTCCAATCGAAACAATTGCCAGCTGCGAAGATGTCATCATCGAATTCGACCATCGAAAGAACGGAAGCGTGTAGTAGATTAACGTCGGCCTGAGCAGCTGGGGCGGTCATCTTGAAAATTCTATAAAAATAGAAGGAAGAAAGAATTTATTAACCATGGTGTTTGTTGCAAAGAGATTGGGAGAGAGAGAGACAAAGGTTAGCAAGTGGTTTGGATGTATTTTTGGAATATTTTTGTACTCGTTTGCTGAACACGCAATATTAATTTATGTTGCTTATACGCTCAGGTGCACTGCGTACGAGTATATTAAAGATATTAAATTATTTATTTATTTATATTATTAAATAATTCAGTGCGCATAAAAATTTTCTCTGTGTTTACTGTTATAATATTAAATTTTCTGTTATTATCATAAATTTTTCTACACTTCTCAAGGGTGAATAAATTTCACCACAGTAAGTCGACTTACGTAAAAAGTACATACATATTTATCGAAATAATTTGAAATTTCGTAAACACATTCCGCCAGCTGACATTCTGAATAGAAAAAATGATAATAGAGTTAAAAAATTTTAAAATAAAAAAAAATTATGGCGGAATTGTGCTTATTTACATTTAATTATGCTAATTTGCGACATTCATAAATTATGAGCAAGTCAAACCTGTGCAAGCCGTAACGGAAATGTTGAAACAAAACCAAAGAACCTCAAGCTCTGTAGTAAACAAAACCAGAACTAACCAAGGAGGAAACGCCAACAACAACAACAACGATAAAAACAATTGTGATAATAGAAAACAGCACAACGTGGTAGTGAGCGCAGCAATAATGAGTTGTTCACGGTAATTTCGCCACAACAAAAGAATTCCGCCGGTGGGGGTCGAGCGTTGCCTACAATTAAAGCGAGATTAAAAACTGTGCCATTTGACAGCAACGATAAAATTGATTGAAATGCCGAGCAACGCCCATGCTTATTTGCCGCCATCAGGCAATGTAACTGTCGGTTGACGGGCAGGCGACAATAAATAAAAAAATTTTGAGGGGTAAGTTCAAATCATAATGAAGGTGGGCGAAGGTAATGCGCGGAAATTAATGTCCCAGTGTAAGGTAAAATAGCATAAATCTGAATTAGTGACATTTTTTCAAAAACGAAACATCTTTATATGTTTAAAGCTTTATAAGCGCTGATGTTTCTCCAACAGATGTGAAGTTAATTTTTATAAGCCACGGCTGATGATTTCTGAACCGTTTTATATTTCATATCATAAAAACCCCATGTTTTACCCAAACATGAAATGACAACAAACTTATGAGGTGGTGTCAGACCACATCTGAAACAAAGCATATTAAAAAATGAACTTCGTTAAATTTGTTTTTACTACTGAAAAATAACCTCAGCTTATTTCAAATGTTTTTTTCAAACTATTTTAATTATTTTTCTTAATCTACTGTAATTGTTTGCTACTCTCAAAACCTAACTTTCCACTCAATTTAAAAAAAAATAACTTCTTTCTGAAGCTCACTAAAATAATTTCATATAAGATTCATAAAAGTTCCGTTACTTGTGACTCTCCATTGAGAACGCACAATAGTGACTGGGCACGAAGCGGCCAGGAAAAGGGTATCTCATTTGCCATGCATCTTTTCACTGCATTTACAACAAATTTTGGATATAAATCTCTTACAGAATTTCGTGCGGATCCAGAGGAAAATTTTATTCAATTTAGTTTTATATCACTTAAAGAAATTATTACTAACGACATAAAGAAAAAGAAGGCTCCTGGATATGACACGATAACGGCTGATATGCTAGAAGATCTTCCAAATGTGGCAATTAAACACATGCTCTGTATATTTAATGTTTTGTTGAGATTACGCTATTTTCCTAAATTATGGAAGCTTTCGGAGATTCTTATGATCCCCAAACCAAGTAAAGATCCATCTTTGGTGGGCTTTTACAGGCCTATTAGCTTAATTACGGTATTCTCAAAAATCTTCGAAAAACTTTTATTAAAAAAAATATATTTTAGAATCAAAACAGACCATACCATGCAACCGATTCGGATTTAAAGAAAATCTCAGTACAATAGAGTAGGTGCATAGAATTATAGCACACATAAGATCAGCGTTTGATCCTCGATGTTGCTCAGGCGTTTGATAAAGTTTGGTTAGATGATCTATTCTTCAAGCTGAAAGGTACGCTTCCCGTAATAATTTATGATGCCTTAGAAAGCTTCCTTATTGTCAGAAAATTTCGTGTTAGGCTAAAAAGTCACACCACTGAATCCTATGAAATATTTGGAAGTGTTTTAAGGCTCGTCTCATATTTAATTTATACGAACGGTCTGCCCACAAACCGAAATCTCATAACTTCCATTTTTGCGGATGATACAGCAATACTTAGTGTCCATTCGAGCCCCATCACAGCCAGTTAAAGATTACAAGAACATTTAAAAGTAATAGAAGAGAGGCTACCAACTTGGAGAATTAAAATCAATGTGTCTAACGGTATACAAATAACATTTACCCTGAAAAAAGACAAACGTCCTTCAATCTCTATCTATAAATGGGAATACAATACCTCAGAAAGAATTCGTTACTTACCAGGGAGTTACTTTGGATAAAAGACTCACCTGGAAAAACCACATGGACAAAAATATCACTCAAACAAAATTAAAAATTGCGAACTTGCATTGGATTGTAGGCTCTAAGTCCAAACCAGGTCTAGAAAACAAAGTCTTACTTTTTAATATGCTTTTAAAGCCGACGTACGGTATCCAAATTTGGGGCTCAGCATCTAAATCTAGCTTAGATAGAATTCAAAGATTGAAGTCTAAAACCTAAAGATCGATATGCAAAGCTCTTTGGTATGTAGAAACCTCGACAAGTCACAACGATCTCGGGATTAAAACCGTCGCCAAGGAAATAGAGAAAATTAATGTTTGGTATCCTTAATGATATCTATGTAAACACATTCTTTGATAAATCTAAGTTATATTCCTAATTTAATCAACTTTGCTTACTTTATTAATCTATATGGTAATGATTGACTTGTTCCAGGAATTAGAATTAGCATTAAGATTTTCGAAATTATTGTAAGTTTCCAAGGAGCAAAGATTCAATAAAATATAGTAAAAAAAAAAAACAAAAATATACGGCGCTTCTTATCAAATATATTTTAGAACCATTAAAATATCATTGTTATTCAAATATTAATATTGCAAGCAACTGCATCTAAGCCTCTGAGCTCTCCCGTGTATCCCTTGATCTAACCACTTTTGCCCATCTCAACGATAAGGCTTCATATATGTATACTTAAATACCAATAAGCCTCATGAGAAGGATATCTTAAAAGCTGAAGAGCTGAATAGAGAAGTAGTACACGAGGGCAAGACAAAACTTCTCCTGCCGCTTAGTGACTTCATCTATTTTAGAATCAAAACAACACCAACAAAAACCAGCGAAGAATTAGTCTTGACAGCAGTCTGGTCATCCTGCTATATGGAAGTATGCATGATGGCAACACCTGAGTAGGCGAAGTTAGGAGTTCTTGAGAGAAAGGTTTTGCTAACGATTTAGGGTATGATCCCTTTGCAAATCAATGCGTTAGCTGTAATTTAATTATTTAAAAAATTAGTTATTACATTAAATGTTTTCAAAGCTTCTTTTTTTATTTCAACCAATACCATAAAGTATCGCTCTTTGTAGTTAAGTTTAATTGTTCACATTGGAGTATAATAATAATAATAACGCTGGCTAGGTCATGTGGTCCGATTGGATACTCCAGCTTTGAAAGTTTTGGACTCAATACCCACCTATAGAGGTAGAGGAAGGTAGACCTCAACCACGTTGCAAAGACCACGTAGAGAAGGATGACTGTTTTTGGAATTTCCAGTTGGCAGCAAGCTACAGCAAGAAATGAAGTCCGCATTGTTGTTATTTTGGCTATGAAAGCGTAAGCGGTGTCCACATAAAACATAAAAAAATAAAAAGAAGAAAAGAAGGAAACATCAGAGGTCTTGCTGTAGTTTTTTTTCTAGCTGATTCTTACGAGGCAGATCCCAGACCCAGCGCACAACTTTGCTAGGTGAGTAGGCTTTAATTTTGAACATATTTATACAGTGTGCCAAAACCCCCTGCAGTTACACTTATCGTGAACAAACACTGCAGTCCCACTTCAGCGAGCCTCCAATAAAGCTTCCTCGCCTATAGCCGTGACTCGGCGCTCCACACGCGTTGGCTATCGCATCTTGCACAAGTGTTGTTCCGATAATAATAGGACTGTGACTGTTATTGTACATTCAGAAACATGACTTCAATCCAGTACACCTCACGCCGAAAGCAATTATTTTTTGAAGATTATCTCTTTCCAAAGTCCATCCATTGAGTCCAATTTTCGATGACTCGTTCGAGTTTGTCGGCTACTAACTGGCGACTGACACGCGAGATTTTTTCATCCGAGGTATGCTTGGTGGCCAATCAACCGGCCCAGATAATTTCATAATCTGCTCACCGAAGTGATCGCTCAACAAATCTATTGATTGATGAAATATTCGTGTGCAGGAAGCGGCGTGGTCTTGTTAGAACCAAATGTCACCGAGATCGCGGGATTCAATTGCAGCCATAAAATAGTCGGTTGTGCTAGCGCAGTAACGGTCGCCATTGGCAATTGCGTTCTTGACGGCATCATTTTTGAAGAAATATGGATCGTTGATTCCACCGACAGAAATAAGCCTCAGCGCCGAACGAAATTTGGATCAAAAAAATCGGATATTCTTCACACATTTAAGAGCACATAGAGCGAAGACATTTATTCTTTACAGAACGTGAATTTCCGTTATAAAGTTGAACGATTTGTAAACCTTATTCAAGCTTAAGTATTTCCATGATGAAATACCAAACAATAATGAACAAAACTAACATGACTGCTTTGCAACTATTATAAGATATGTGGCTTCAGCCATTGTTATTACGAGAGTGTAGTGGCATATCCTAGTATGCAGAAAGGCCATAATGTTGTAGTGCCGGGTAAGTGTGTGCGTGCGTAGGTATGCTTACACGCAGTAAGGCCCACTGCATTGTAGTGGTGACATTGTTTTTGTGGTTTAATAGCCGTATAAAA